TTGTATGCCACCCAGAGTCACCTTGTGTGAGATGGGCAGCTATATAAATATGATAAATAAATATGATAAATAAATAAATAAGTAAATAAATAAGTAAATAAATAAATAAAGTTTTCTTACTGATAGGCCTGTGCCTATGCAGATGTGTGCATTCACACTTACGTATATTCAAATCATCCCATCACTTGTAACGAAGGAAATTTATGCCCAGAGTGGGGAAAGCATCCTGGGAGGGAAACAGATTCAAATGTTTCTTTTCTTCCACTTTTATCAAAATCTGAGCTTTTCAAAGAGTTTAGGTATGTTTCACAATTCAAAGGAAAAGCAAACCTTAAGAAACATGTTAAGATGCAAATGCAAAGAGAATTGTGCATGACAATGCATGCAAATATTTGTACAGACTGCCTTTTCTCTTTTTTTCTTCTCTTTAACTCATAATTGATATGAAAATAGACTGAAGTGAACTCAAAGTCATGCAAATTGAAGGCAATTAAAATTGGCAGATGTGCCAGTCCCTAAATTGTTCCATTCATGAAGTTATTGAAGATGGAAGCCACTAAGTCATTTAGTTTCAAGAATCAATTTTTTTTATGAACTCTTCTCCCTTCCCCTCCACCAGTCAGGCTTTGATGGCAGTACTTACTTATTATGATTTGTAATATAAAGGTCCATTTTTAATCCCTTCACTCCATTTCTCAGTTATCCAATAACGCTAGTTATATTTGGGTAATGTTCAAAATAGCAACAAAATTAAGAAGACACTGGTCAAGCTTGCTGGTTTTCATCACTGTCCTGCTGGGGACACTTTAACTCATCACACTGTTTGCTGAGCCTGCAGCAGTAATATGTAGCAAAGGTCAACCTGTCTTTCAATAAACCTTTAAGCTATTATTGACCTTTCCATTAACAACTTCTGAAAAGTTTCAAAATAAATCCAAGTTCTGAATTTTAGATGGCAGACTGAAGTAGGACTAAGAGGCAGCTTTCACCATCAATGAAGAATGCCTGAGATGTGTAGAAAGTAATGTAGGACATGCATTTATTAATGTACAACAATTGGCCTGTTTTGTAGTAAAAATACTCAGAATGGCTCATAACAATTAAGACAATCCAATGGCACAAAGCAAAATTAGTAGTGTCAAAATTAAAACAAAACAAAGACCAGAAACACCAAAAAGTAGATCAGAACATTGGATTAGCCTGTGATAGATCTTCTCGGTTCACAGTCCAAAAACAGTCTACAACTTTTGAAAAGGCAAGGTTTAAATATATATTCCTACTTACAATTGTGGACTATTATTTCTCTGCATATCCATAGTTTTGTTTCAGTGTTCTGCTCTTAGCTTAATTGAATATGTGAGCCAGATTGTATTTCATACTTCTACCCTCCTTCCACATGATGGAGAAAGGAGTGTTTTGTGCATACACCTATATATGCAGACGCCACCTTGCAGTCTGTAACTTAGTGTTACACATGCCCCAAATGGCATTGAGAATTCTGTATGGAGAACGGGATGCATGCTACATATGATATCAAGGAAGGAGCTGTGCAGAAATGAGTGCTCTTGGCTGATATATTCTCTTAAACAGTATTAATAATACAATCATACATATAATTACAGAGTTGAAAAAGAGCCTTCAAACTGGCTGGTGTGGGTCTTCCGGGCTGTGTGGCCGTGTTCTTGAAGTTCTGTTTCCTAACGTTTCGAAGATGCAAGTCACAGGT